AAAGGAAATTCATAATATTTAGAACGAACGACTTCTTACCACAATTCCTGTTGTAATGGACAATGTCCGGCCGCAGTATGTGTTGGGCACGATGTCACCGTATCCGATTGACATGAACGTTACCATAATGAACCACATTGAATTCAGGTAGTAATGTTCCACGTCCAATTTGCCATCATAACTGAAAGTACTGGCATTTCCTAAGTCCAATTATGCAAATAAAAGCTGGCAAGTTACCGTTCACACTGCGTGAACATCCACGACATACAGATCCAGTAAGACACGGTGAAGACGATCAGCACTCGGAGAGGATGATCGGCCATCATGGTTTTGATAACAAAACGAAAATCCATTGAGATTCGATTCAATGCGGCGATCGAGCGTGTTGCGGCATCCTGGAGTAGAATTGCGGAATAATTCATCGATTTATTCAATTGATTTTGGATGTGTTGAAGTCCATTTGAAATCCAGGATATCAGTTCATTCGTATGTTCATATGACTATGTGGGCAATAGTACAGGCCTCCGTCCTCATTTTTATGGTATCAAAAGAGATGGACATGATTAGGAGAGTTCACTGCATTGAATATCCTTCACTAATCAAGAGGGGATTAGAAACTGTGAAGTTAGGTGAATCTCCCACTCCCTTCCGGCACTATTTACCCTTTACTGCCCCACTCCTCGAGAACTGAGCCGGATTTTTATCGAAATTGGTCATTGACTGTGAATTTGGCTAGAAACTTGCCTTCGGGGGTAATTCGACCCGTAGAACACGAATATCACATTTGTTTACCGCTAGAACGCCTGGCGCTCGCGCCAGAAGCGCCGGCGCCAGAACATCTCGGATCCCAAATTCGCTGGAAAGTTGTCCTCAGAGGTATTTTGACCCGTAGAATATGATTATCACATCAGTTTGTTACGAGTGAACCTGTAGCCTGCGCTACGAGCGCCCGCGCAAAACTGTTGTGATAGCGCCGGCGCCTGTGGCGCGGCGCCAAGCGTTTTCGCTCTAAACCGGTATTATATTCGTGATCTACGGGTCAAATTACCCCTGAAGGCAAGTTTCTAGCCAAATCCACAGTCATGACCAATTTCGATAAAAATCCGGCTCAGTTCTCGAGGAGTGGGGCAGTAAAGGGTAAATAGTGCCGAAAGGGAGTGGGAAATTCACCT